GAAAAAAAAAAAAAGAAAGTAAAAATCATTATAATTATAATAAGCGAAAAGAAAATCTACAAATTCAATTTTAATCTCTCTTTATAAATATATTAGACTACATCGGTTACATAAAAATATATACATGTATATATATATATATATTGTGTGTGATAATGCAGTGCTGTGCTCATTTTTAGTGTATAAATAAAAATTACGTTTTACCAAGAAACATTCATAAATAAATAATTTTTTGACATTTATATTTATTTTTCTTGTCATTTTTGTTCTTACTCATTGCATATATTTTCATATATATATATATGTATTACTTTTTCATCTCTAATTCTTAAATGTGTATGACTCAATTAAAGAGAAATTAATGGTACTTCCAAATATCTTTAGGTTAGTCTCAAAGCTTCCCTCCTCTTTTAAATTGGTACAAGCTTATAAATGGTTATACACTTTGCAACCTTGTACCCGCAATCGTTGGTTGTATCATCCGAGATAATTTAAGACAACGAGGTAATATATTTTATGAGAAATTAAGATTTTTAGTTGGGTCTTATCTGTATAATATAATGGTGGTCTCGATGGTCGGAAATTTGCTTACTGAGTGTGGGTAAGAAGCTCTTTGTTAACATAAATTTTCTTCACCTCATCCCTTGACTTAATCTTCACTACTTCAATCATTATAATGTAAAAAGATAATTTAGAGATTTGTCCGACTTTAATTGAGCGTCAAATTTTATTTGATTAAGATTTTTATCGGTATTTACGTGCATCTATACATAAATTATTGTAATATTATTTAGATCTGTCTTTTCAATAGTTAGATCTTACAACTTTAATTATTTATTTTTTTAATAACAAAAAAAATTATTTATTTTATAATATTATTACAGGTTACATTATTTTTATTTTTTTTTAATAATCATTATGTTTTTTAATTTTTGATACGTATTAAAGTGGTTATATTTTTTATTTTACTATCAATACGTATTTGTAAAATTTTAAACAAAATATTCATGAATTCAAGCTTAAATTTGTAAGATAAATTAGCTCACATCAATTTAATTATATATTTATAAAAAAAAAAAATATCTATTAGCTCAAATGTAAATTATTAATCTTGTATAAAAATATTTTGAATTTCAACAAAAGGGATTTCATTTTTACTAAAATATATAATATAAATTACCAAAAATCCTCTAATTTATAACTCATTCTACACTAATTCTCACCTTCAAGAACTTATATCGTCAACAAAAAAGATAATTAACAAAAATTATAAAAATTACAAAGATGACTTTCTATGTATAATACAAACAGACACAAAATAAAGTATTTTGTTTTTACTAAATTTGTTTTACGAGTAGAAAATTAAAATGAAATAAGATTAAGATTGAGAAAAAGATGGCAAGCTAACTTGTCTTATATAAACAGCATCCATGGAAAATTCTGGTCCAAGTCGCCTTCACCTTACTTCCATCTCATATGCTTTTTTCAAATTGCAAGACGAGAAGATTTTCCTTTAAAAGAAAACCCAAATGTTGATGCACAGCAATGGAGATAACAATATGCTTGCAAGTGAGAAAGAATATATATATATAATTATATATATGTACGCCAGCAGTTTTTAAAAACACATCAGAAATTTTCCAATCACGTAATTCATAGAATTAAAAAGGAAGCAGGCTACAGTAGACGAACTTTAACATTTCCTCCACTCGCGCGACTGAGAAAAAAGTCTTTTTGAAGATACAAGAAAAGGCCGCATTTTCACAAACGACAATATCCGAAATTTTAATGAAAATAGGAAAAAAAGATGATGGCTTTTAGCTTTAACTAAATTTATTTTTATATATAGAAATATCAAATATATGTTTTTGACAGATTGGGGGAAAAAGGGTGTTTGGTTTTCTCTGCAGATTGATTCTTTCAATATTTATATTTTCTGCCCAGTTGGCCAGAAATTTCCAACTCATGTTTCCACGTTTTGGGAGTTTGTGACTGCAAATTGGACTTCGGAGAGAGAAAGAGAGAGAGGATGGGATCCAGTCATATAACAAGTTTTTCTTTCTTGGGTTTGTATATGTAGATAGATAGACGTTTAATTTGTAGTGTGTGTATATATATATATGTGTACATATACACGAAGCGCCAGTTGGTTGGGTATGAGTGTGTATTTTGTTGCCCACCAATTTAATCTTTTTCTGGGACCGTGAAAATCCTTGTTGCCTCTAAAACCCAAGTGGGTCATCTTTGTTTTTGAGGTCCTACTCCCCCACTTGTTGGTCTATGCTGTATTGGCTTCTCTCTCTTTCTCTCTGTTCTTGTTCCCTTTTCTCTACGCTAACTCTCTTTTCTATTTGGTCTTCTTCTCTCCTATATCCGATAGGAATATCCATTCTTGTCAATCTGGGTATTGATGTTCCTTTTTTCTCTTCTTTTTTCGTAGTTGAAGGTAATAAACATTCAGGTCCTTTGAATTTGGTTACCTTATACATAGTCTTTAATCTACTTTTGGTGGATTTATATGAAATATCTGAATCTTCAACTGTTGAGTTTTTTGTTCTTAGAGGTTGGAAGGATGTTATCTCTGGCTCAAGACATCTGGGTCTTTTGATATTGGACTAGCTTTATTGGTTTTTGCTTGAAATGGTTGATGTGGAGTATGAGATTTGATGGGTGTTTAGGATCACTTGTTGTAGAGCATAAAGCTGGTAGAGGTAGACGAAGAGGGCTTTGTTCCCCCTCCCTTCTGCATCAGCTTGAACTTTCCTTCTCTTGTGGGTGATTCATCTGTACTGGGATTTCTTCATGTTTGGTCGAAGACAATGGAGAGATTTATGGCCAGATTTTTACTTCTTTAGCATTCAGTATCGTTGCTTAATGAGATAACATGAAGAACCTTTTTAAGAAACTCCATATCATGTCTAATCAACAAGAAGATGTCCAAGGATCCACTTCGTCCAGGAGCAGTAATAAGCCCAGCGATGTATCAGCATCCCCTGATAGGTCTTTACACTCAAGGTCCCATCAATATAATCCAGAGCACAAACCCTTTTCTGGTCTTTCCAATTGGCTAAATTCAATTGCCAATAGAAAGAGTCCTAGTCCTCCATCATCCTCGAATATCAGAGGGGAAAGGCTGGAACCAAGTGATTCTATCAATATCAGTGGCTTAGATGCTGCTCTTGAAGCAGTAAGGCGTGATTCAGGGTCCAGTCATTCAAGGGATCCTGATATAGAGGAGGAGTATCAGATACAGCTGGCCTTGGAGTTGAGTGCAAGGGAAGATCCTGAGGCAGTTCAAATTGAGGCTGTTAAGCAAATAAGTTTAGGCTCTTGTGCTCCTGAGAATACTCCAGCTGAAGTTGTTGCCTACAGATATTGGGTAAGTTTCCTATTCACCTACCTTTTCTAGTTGATGAAGCTTTATGCCTTTTCTCAACAGTTCAAAAAAAATCTTGTTGCAGAGTACTTATTTTACTGCCATTACTAATAATTTATTACCTGGTATAAATTTCTCTTTTTTCAATTCGAGGTAGTTGGACCAATATCATCTGTGAACAGTATTGTTTCCAAAAATATTGCATTTGATGAGACATGTTCCATCTCCCACCATAAACGTATGGGAATTTGTATCAATAAAGAATTGGTCTTTGATATGTCAACATGAAGCTAAAGTAATTTTTTCATAGAAGAAAAATAGGAAAAGGTTTTGAGAAGGGGTCTGTTGTCCTTAATCCTCATGATGCTTGTGATCCTGTTATAGTGATCTGTCATTAAAGTTGTTGGAAGTCCTCATCACTGCTGCTGTAAATTGATTATTCCTGCCGGTGGGAGGGCAAAAATATAGGCCTGAATTATTAACCATTCGATCTTCCAGATCTACAAATTTAGATAGACACCAGCAAAGGAAGCTGGAGGTAGTGGGACCCTTTTCTGAGTTGGAAAAAGTGTTGATTAAACCCTACCATTAACAGGATCAAGGTGAAACAAGAGTAGCTATCAAGACCGGGAGAATTTCCTTTTTGCGTGCTTGTTGTCTATATTAATGTGTTAATTAAACCCTAGCATCGACGGGATGAAGTCCAAAGAAGGGTAGCTATGGAGATTGGAAGAGCTTCCTGTTTGTTTTCTTATTGTCTGTATTTAACATGATTAAGATTTGAAATTTGTTTGTTTCCTCTTTCCTCATGTCATACCAATCAGGTTTCTAAGATAATACTTCTTTCTCTTATCAAAATGACAAGAATTCTTTCTGTTCTATAATTTGAACTTCCTGTCTTCTGTTTTTAAGTTTCTCCTTAATCATTTCTGTTTATATCCTATATCTCAATTTTGTATAAAACTTGAGCCTCTATTCCAAGACTCTCTCTTGGAAGCCAAGCCACAAGTTTTTCATGCTTCCCATGTTTTTCCTTTTTGTGACACTTAGACTTGGAAATATTTGGCAAAATTTGGTGAATGCATTCACACCTAGTGTATTCTGCATTCCTTCCGTGTTTAGATATCTTTTTTCCAAACAACTAGATCAACGATCCTTGCCTTTACCAGCTTGTATGTGGCATAATAAATATGGTAAAAAAGGAAATTATTTGGCCATTTTATTATTCTTTGATCTTTGTTAGATTATTCTGAACTTTGTTATGCTCATAGCTTAACCACTTTAAGACTTGAAATGCTTATGTATTCGTATTATACTCATTCATGCATGTGAATTTCTTTTTGGTCCTCTTGCTCTCCATTACGTTTTTCAATATTGTTATTCCTTTCTAACCTATCTCATATCGTAGATTTGTCCGTGCTTCACAGAATTACAATTCTCTTAGCTATGATGACAAGATCTTGGATGGATTTTATGACCTGTATGGAGTATTAACTGAATCCATCTCAGAAAGAATGCCTTCGCTGGTTGATCTGCAAGGAATACCAATCTCAGAAAACGTGACGTGGGAAGCAGTTTTGGTGAATAGAGTTGGTGATGCTAATTTGTTGAAACTTGAACAGAAGGCACTGGAGATGGTTGTCAAGTCGAGATCAGGTTCTCCAAATTCTATGGGCAGTGAGCTAGCACGGAAGCTCGCTGTTTTAGTTGCAGAGTACATGGGTGGACCAGTTGCAGATCCTGACAGCATGTCAAGAGCCTGGCGAAGTCTTAGTTATAGTTTGAAAGCTACACTTGGTAGCATGGTTCTTCCACTTGGTTCTTTAACAATTGGATTGGCTCGTCACCGTGCATTGTTATACAAGGTACCTGCTGTACTCTAATTATGCTTATAATAAAGTGTAAATCCTTTGAATAGTCCCAAGAACAATGACTTAAGGAGATCAAATAATTCAAGGAGATTACAAGATTTCTTGCAATCCAAAGCTCCCCTTACAACTACGACTATTGAACTCTTCAGTGAGGCACTGGGCTTGCTTATCTCACTCTTAATGCCCTCCTCTCACTTGATTAGATCCAATTATCCAATAAGCCATGTCTGACCGATATTTGTGATGATGATGTAAAAGGAATAAGAAATTTTAGGCATATAGAGTTCAAATGGTAGGCTGATTAAGGATGCATGAAAGAGCTATTGATTCTTTTGTTACTGGAAGCTAGGAGTTATAGATAAGACCCAACAATCTTAAAATGGGGCAATACTTCAACGGATTTCTATTTTGGTTGCTGGAGGTCAAAATTTCCATAAGTCAAATATGAACTCTTAATATTTCTGTCATTATTTTGTAGCCACATTTTGTACTTTCTATTCTATGATCTTACAAATTCTCTGTTGAAGTAATTTGTTGGTTTAGGTTCTCTCATCCAAGCAAATTTATATGGTTACATAATGGTCTTGTTTGATTTTCGTTTTTCTAGGTCTGCTGGCAAATTAACTATGTTTCGGTATCTTTTTTATAACTTATGCTAATAACAAGTATGTTCTAAAGATGGAGAGATGAGATTAGCTTAACTAAGAGGAACAGGGACTATGAGTACCTTATGCATTGCATGGTAACTTTTCATCACTTATTGTTTCTTATTAGAGTAGAAGCTGTGTAATAGCTATCTTGTTTGTCGTGTATCTATACTGGTTTCTATGAATTTCCTTAGGATTTTGTTTCGGATTGTATTGAGTCTCTGGAACATTCATTAGTTAAGATCTGTTAGAACTTTTATGAATTATTCCTCAAACCTTTCCTTTCTGGAGTCAAACTAGTTTTCTGACCCTTCTGCTATCGAAAACTCATGCAAAACAGAACACTGCTCTTTTATCTCTCAAACCATCATCTCCCAGAGGATAGTTGCCATCTTGGAGTTAAAGTGCCCGGTCGACAAATCATGAATTGATTACTTCAAGTAGTATGAACCATTGAGAAAAGGGAAAGATACTTGCTCATAGAACTGATGGTTTTATCTGTAATTTCCTTCTGTAGAATAGAGGCTTTATCATAAGTTTTTTTAAAACATCTACAGTTAGTTCTTTTACTTTCAAAAAGAAGTATTGAACTCCTCTCACATTAGGAGTTGAGGAATGCAGATTCAGTTGGGCTGCAAGTCCCTCATTTTGCTGAAATAAACTGAAATTGTTGGTGGCAGGAAGGAAAAATAAAATAACAACGAACAGAAAGGGAAAAGTGGGAAGATAGACATTTCAACCTTTGGATGAAAGGATTAGTTGAAGCAATTGAGAAATGTGGGGACTAATTTTAAGTTAAGGCCTGAACTAGGAGAAGAGTCATTGCCTTTAAATTCGGGTATTTTGTTACATTCTTATCCTTCTATTATCTCTAAAAAGAATGGGTATTCTTTTCTTTTCTACCATGACTCTTTTTCTTCTTTTATCTTTTCTCTACTTGCGTCTTTTAATTGGTCTTTCCTTCCATCTCAAATTTTTAGTTCCAATTCATGTTCATGAAACTTCATCTACTGACCGTCATATTTGCATACTTTGAATAATTGTGGATGTAAATTCATCGGTTTATCATTCTAGTAATACGGTCAGATTTACCAATCATCCAAGGCCTTGGCACAGGCAATTGTTTTTATGCTTAGTATACCTGAGATGAAGTATTATCCTTTGATAAATTGTAATCAAGTTTAAGCCATTTCTATGGAAACATAAAGGTGGGAGTGTATAGATCACTAGGTCATGGAGTCTTCATTACCATATGTTATATCCTACATGCTAGTATCTGTCATTAGATTTAGCTCCATCTTGCCCTAGGTTGTTTTCCTAACTAGTTTCTCATTCAGGCTTTTATGGTGGATGAATTGCAAGAAGCACGTGTAATTATTCTGCAAAGTTTCTGTTGTGTGTTTGCAAAATTAGAAGTTAGTTCTGAGATCAAATCCCATCATGAATCTGGTTTATTTGGTTTGTGGGTGTCAAATTCTGCATTAGACAGAGTTCTACTACTGAGACAATGACAGTAAGGAAAAATTTAATTTCCCAACATTGCAGGTGTTGTGCATGAATAAAATAAAACTTGGAAACAAGAAATAATGAAGGACAAAAGCATGCACATGGCTGTCCCAATGTAACCTACATTCAGGGAGATGGAATCTGAATTTACTCTAATATTGGAAGATTACAGAATATTGCTCATGCACACTTAGCCCTATCTCACGACACCCAGTCAATCTGCTGTCTCTGAACAGAAAACACTATATGGCAGCTAAATGAGAAAAATGTGCATGTGATTTTTAACATGTAGTGACGGGGCTTACCCTGGACCCATAGGCCACAATGTGTTCGATCATTGCGGAAAGACTGCTCCACTGCATTGAAAGACCCTTTTATCAATAGCTTGATGAGATATGGACACGTGGAAGGTGTTTAGATTAACTTATTCTTGTAGTAAAAGGTGCTTAAAACACATTTTGGTTAAAAAATGAGCTCTAAAGTGTTTGGATCACTTTACAATTGCTAAAAACTGTAGAGCTTTTAGCCCAAAAACTAACGCTCTCAAGACCAGCTTTTTTAAATAGCTTTAATTTTTCAACTTAAAACTTCTCTGACTATTATTTTTTACTAAAATATCCTTTTTGGATACAAAACATCACTCTTACACAACTTTTATTTTAAAAAGTAATTAAGTGCACCTTTTTAATTTTACAAAATTTTCAGCTGAAAGCTCTGCTTTTACCAAATACTTTATAATCTATTGAAGTCTAAGAGGCAGAAAGAAAAATCAAAGAGTTTAGGTACTTTTACTGCTTAAAATTTTTTTAGTGCAAAGCTCATTAGTAAATCCAAATACCCTCATACAAACACATACAACTTTAAGTATCGGAAGTAAGGTGGATTCTTTCTTTCTATTCTCTGTTCTCAAGTGTTGTAGGATATTTTGGAGGTGGTACTCTCCATCTCGTTTTCAGTTGGGATGATACTATTTTGGTGAAATAAATTTTGACTAGTTGTATGTGAAGGTTGTAGAGGAAACCAGGCAAGTTGTTTTATAAGTGGTTCCGTCATGCTTGATGTTGATGATATGAAGAAAAAGGAAAAAGAGCTTCCACAGTTCAGATGCATTATCTTCGTATTCATGGTTGGGATGATCCTAGTTTGACAATAGAGCATCTGGCTAATTGTAGAGGAAGTTAGTTGTAAGATAGCAGCTGGATTGCTCAGGAGGTAGTTCCATCATGCTTGATGTTAATGATATAGAAAATCTTGTGCCTTGAATTTATGCTGACCCAAGGTATTTCAAGAAAACTTTTTAGCTGACTGCAACTTGGTTTGGGACTTAGAAACTAGAAGCCAATTTTAAGTCGGACTCCGAAATAATTGGCGGCTGCAACATATATATGTTTAACAGCTTGTGTTCTTCTCAGTAACACAGGTAAAAGAAACAAATACGGGGAGCTCTGAGGTGTGTGAGGATTTGAGCAGTGAGAAACCCTTGAGTGCTTTTTTTGTTCTTTCTCTATGTAGCAAAAGTTTTTTGGTTATCTTTCCCTCAGGAATGTAGGCTGTTGTGGTGAACTTACTGAATCTTTCTTATCTTTTTCTTTCTCCTATTTCTCCATATTTTGTTGATTGTTTTTTGTGCCTAAAACAAGTTCATGAACTTGGGTTTACATTACAAATAACCGCAATATAGGGGCTTTTGTAGGAAACAAAACTGCAACATACTGTTGCACTGACTGTTCCGTGGATATATTTTAGAGTTAGCCTATACTTTAGATAATTATTGCTTACAAGAACACTCACTTATTTTTCCCTTCAACACTTAAGTACTAGATACCTTTTCCACTAGTTCCTTATCTTCTTTACCTGTTAATTTACATTGTTATGTAGGTTTTGGCTGATAGTGTTGGCATCCCTTGCCGATTGGTGAAAGGACAGCAGTACACTGGCTCAGACGAAGTAGCAATGAACTTTGTTAAGACAGATGATGGAAGGTAATTGGTTGTATGAATTTTAATTTGCTCTTTAGCAATGGGAAGCTATATTGATAAATTGTTCTCCATTGGGTAAGTGTTGCAATGCCTTTCATAAAATGTCCAAGAGGAGATGCTTCACTTACTCCTCAGTTCACCTTTCTGTGCATCTGCTATATTTATGCTATCAGAAACTATCACCTTACTGTTTGAGATATTCAAAATTTTCATTGTGTTATTTAGGATTCCATAGACAAGATGCCATCATGTTATATATACTTTTGTTTTAGTGTTTCTTTGTCATTCTTCATTGGCTAGTTCCCATAGTGGCTTACAAGGGTCATGAGGCAGGACATTGCCTCATTTATGTTTTTAATTCCACATATTTGGCTTGCAAAAATTAACTTATTTATTAAGAGGATATATATGTGAATTTCAGGGAGTATATTGTTGACCTGATGGCCGATCCAGGGACATTGATTCCTTCTGATGCAGCTGGGTCACACATAGAATATGATGACTCTCTTTTTTCTGCGAGTCCTCTGTCTAGAGATATTGACTCATCACATATAGCTTCTTCTAGCAGTGGGGTTGAAAGTTCTCTCGAAGAGCATTCAGAATTTGGGACATCAGAAAAGAGATCCCGGTTTAGTATTCTTTCTGCTGCCAAAAACCAACCTGACAAAGGAGGTGAATTTAACCCTAACGCAAATATTGCCAGAAAAGCTATACATGAAGAAGAAGCGAAGACATCTTCAGATGGTACAAAAAGTTCTTCCAATGCAGATAAGTTGCTGATGCAAGATCTTCCCAACAGACCTAATTACCCTTACTCTCATGCAAGATCTCCTTCATGGACTGAAGGTGTTAGTTCTCCTGCTGTACGCAGAATGAAAGTGAAAGATGTGTCGCAATACATGATTGATGCTGCCAAAGAAAATCCACAATTAGCTCAAAAACTTCATGATGTGCTACTTGAAAGTGGCGTTGTTGCTCCCCCAAATCTGTTTACTGAAATTTATCCTGAGCAGCTGGATGCAATGGTTGAAGTCAGGTCTTTGGCTGACGTGAAGGATGAAAGTAGGCATGGTATTGGGAGCCAAGAAACTCGGAATAAAGATGATCTTGGCCCAGCTCGTTTTTTACCTCCTTTGCCTCAGCCCAAACTGCATTTGAAAGCAAGCCCAGTTCCTAATCCTGCAGAGCAGATTAAACCTGTGGAAGGTTTAGGGGGCAGTCATCTATTTGATACAAGGGAGGCAACTGCACATCCTGTTTCACCACAATCTGAAGCATCCCCTGCGAAGTATGCCAAAAATGTCCCTGTTGCAGCAGCTGCTGCAGCTGCAGCAGCTGTTGTTGCATCTTCAATGGTAGTTGCTGCTGCTAAGTCAAGCACTGATTCAAATATTGAACTCCCAGTAGCTGCTGCTGCAACTGCTACTGCTGCTGCTGTTGTAGCAACAACTGCAGCTGTGAGTAAGCAGTATGAGCAGGGTGCACGCAGCGACAGAGATACAGAATCTTCTGGTTATGACCCACGTGGTAGCGAGGGGCATGATTCTCTGGGAGCAAATGCTGAGGGAGAAAGAATATCAGATAAGTCAGCTGGCAATGACAGCACAAAATCTGATGTTGCACTTGATGATGTTGCAGAATGTGAGATTCCATGGGATGAAATTGCCTTGGGGGAGCGTATTGGACTGGGTAATATCCTTTGCATCTCTTGCTGTATCGAATACTGATTTGGGTTAATATTCACATTGATTTGGTGTGTTCTTTGATGTAGGGTCATATGGAGAGGTCTATCGTGGAGACTGGCGTGGGACTGTAAGTTGTCTCCATCCTTTTCTACAATAGTGTCGGTTGTCGATTGGGTCTAATCATCATTATTGAAAGTAGACCGGTCATTAAGTTGGTTAGAGCATTGTTTCACTAGTTTACTAGCATGATTAGTAGTTCCTTAGTTGATCTCTTGATTCAAAAATATAGATATAAAATAATACAATACAAATAAAACTTAAAAACTTAAAACCATATTATTTAAAGTATATTGCTGATAGTTTTTAGTATTGTCGGGAATAACTGTGTTGTATTCTCGTTGAATAATACATCCCTATGTATACAAGTTTTAGGGATAAGAAAAAGAAAAGTTAAAATTAATTACAAAGAATGTGTTTTACTTTAATTCCCTTTAATTTAGTTTAAACCTATTTATATATCAAGTACATTCTTTAATATTTCTCATCAAGTTGGAGAGTAAATGTTATCAAATCCTAGTTTGGTAATGATAGTATGAAATGGTAGATTACTCAAGTCTTTAGTCGATATGTTTGCAAGTTATTGCTTTGTGAGTACATAGAGAATACATATTAAACTATTGTCTAGCTTCTACTTGATAAAATGCTTATCAACTCCAAAGTTGTTCATTTTATTATGCTGTACAGGATTTTGAGCAATGTTTATTGCGATTTGTTGTCATAGTAAAAGCGCATTCAACCATCTCACTTGACTCTTAAATTTTCTAGGAGTCTTTTCAACCATAGTAATTCACATATCTTTTGTGCCATTGTTTTGAATTCGGACCCTAACAACTACATTATGTTCAAGTGACCGTTGATCCTGTATAGTTTGGATCGGTGTAAACTTTAAATATCAATCTATCATTCCTTTTGAACATTATGCATTTTTCTCATGTCCCCTTTAGGTAAGGTAATTTATAGGCTGCCTTTAAATGTACCTCTTTAGAGTTATGAATGAATTGGCTTGTCATACTCACTTCATAGGCAGTATCAAGTCTTATGTTAGATAGATAATTAACCTCCTAACTAGTCTTTGGTACATTTGTTGATCTATTTCTACATCATCTTCCACTGGTCCCAACTTACAGTTGAGGTCAATAGGTGTTCTCGTTGGCTTACATGCTAGTTTAACTGCATGTTTCAACAAATCATTTATGTATTTCTGAATTTTTTTTATTTTGAATGACTACTTTGATCCCAAGAGGATTTTAGCTTTCCTAATTCCTTCATTTCAAATTCCCTGGTTAGATAGTACGAAGTTTAAGCTTTTCTTCTTTATTATCCCCTATCATAATAATATCATCGTTGAACACCATATTTTATTATTTAATATTATGTAATTAGAATTTTATGAGAATAATAATCTCATATTATTAGAATTCTAGTAAAATAAAAATTTTCTTATTAGTAAATTAGAGATTTTATAAATAGTATAAGTGTAATAAGTTAAAGGGTGAGAAATAAAATTATATTTTTTTTTCCAAAATCAATATGATATTATAACCAAATAAAACTATTTTAGGGTTCTAATTTCAGGGTTTCTTTTAAATCTTAAAATAACACAATATGTTGGATTGATACATTTTTATTCAGATATACTCTCATCACCACCCAAACCAAATTTGAACCCGTCGATGTTTTGGGGTATTTACGGTGATTTTCAGAGGTGGTTTAGGTGTTGGTAAAATAGTGCAGCTACATACTGGAAGCGCCGGTAAAATAGTGCAGCCGCACTCTAGAGGCATCGTTAAAAGGTTGCATCCACACTCTAGAGGCGCTGGTAAAAAGGTGCAACCGCATTCTGGAGGCGCTGGTAAAAAGTTGTAGTCGCAAATTTGCAGGTGCCGGTAGAAAAGTGCAGTTGCACATTCGTAAGCGTTGGTAAAAAGTTGCATGGAGGCGCTGATAAAAAACTACAGCTGCACATCTACAGGCGCTAATAAAAAGTTACAACCGCACATCTACAGGTATCGATAAAAAAAGCCACGTCATTCCGTTTTTCTCCGCATGTTCAGAGATCTTTGTGAAGAAGACGAGTCAAGCCGACTTTGAACTGTTTTTTTGAGCTGACTTCAACCCGTTTTAGAGCCGATTTTGAGCCGTTTTAGAGCCAATTTTGAGCTGTTTTAGAGCCGAACCCGAGATGCTTTAGAGCCGAACCCGAGTCGTTTTGGAGTAGAATTGAGCCGTTTTGAGCTGAGTCGAGCTGTTTTGAGCCGGGTTGAGCCGTTTTGAGTTGGTCTGAGCTGAATCAAGCTGTTTGAGCCGAGTCGAGCGCGCGTACGCCTTTGGTAGATTGTGTGATAACTCTTCAGAATTTGGTTTGCAAGTTGCGCATGTGCGATATCCTTGCACCAATTTGAAGGGGGTGTTGAATACCATATTTTATTATTTAATTATTTAATATTATGTAATTAGAATTTTATGAGAATAGTAATATTATATTATTAGAATTCTAGTAGAATAAAATTTTTTTTATTAGTAAATTAGGGATTTTATAAGTACCATAAGTGTAACAACTTAAAAGGTGAGAAATAAAATTATATTTTTCTCCAAAATCAACAATCATCAACATATATCAGGAGAGCAATAACTCCCTCTAAATTCGAATATTTAATAAATAAAGTATGATCTTCTTGATTTTGCTTGTATCCCATACCCAAAATTACTTTAGCAAATTTACCAAATCACGTTCTAGGTGATTGCTGAAGCCTATAAAGTGTCTTCTTCAGTTTATGTACTTGTTTGTACATGTTTCATTGGCAAATCCCAATACGATTTTCTTGTTGATCTCTTGTAACTCTTCGTGCAAGAATACAATTTGAACTTATGCGAATGTCAATTGAAGTGGGTAGCTAGAGATAGCAAAACTTGCATTATATTCATTTTTGCAACTTATGCGAATGTCTCTTGATAATCTATCCTATAAGTTTGAATATAGCTTTTGGCTATTAGCTTTGCTTTGTACTTTTCAATTGTTCCATATGATCTGCATTTTATGGTGAACATCCTCTTACATCCTACGGATTTCTTTTCTTCTTTTTCAAATAAAAAGTTTAGTGTGTATTACTTATTACAAGCACCAAATAGTTGCCAACCTATATACAAAATTATTTATAATTCAAGTAGGATATCAAAAAGATCCCCAAAATCCTCCATATAGTACGAAAAATAATACTTTATAAAAAAATCCAAGGTCTGGAACCATCTATCTCTAACTTTGTTAGCTTTCATCCCCTCAAAAGCTCTCATATTTCTTTCTTTCTATATAATCAAAAAAATAACGAGGAGAATGACCCACTTGTTTCATTCTATCGCTAATATCCTTTCAAGCCAAAATCTCATCCCGTACATTATCCATCAGTATCCAATAATCCCCAAGAGTCCATACAACATGGTCGATAACTTATACACCAATGGACACCGCAGCAAGATATAATTATAAGATTTCTCCGGCCTCCTTCATAAGAAACATCCATTCACCATAAGTTTTTCTCTTTTCATTAGCTTGCCAATAGTGAAGATATATCCTCTCCTTGCCTCCCAAGTAAAAAAAAAAAAAAAAGAAAAAAATTCTAGGGGAGCACTCACCTTACAGATTTGCTAGTACAGAAACCTAATCTCAGTGGAATCGGTCTTAACCAAGTAGTTGTACAAATACTTAACCGTATGTGTACCTGCAACCTTGAGGCTGCAAATTGGTTGATTATTGCTTCTGTTAAGATATTTAAGGATATTGACCCGATAAGAGATACATACTCATCAACCGCCCAATCATTAAGGTTTCTCATCGACTCCACATGCCATTCCCGAGCGCTCCCAATATTTCTGAATGATTCACAGAATGTGATGTCTTTGTATTGTTTATTGCGAAAATATGATGGAACTGATGTCTAAGTGCTCCACCTCTAAAACAAGGATCCATCCAGAAATTGATTCTTCTTCGTTGCCAACACTTCACTTGATGCATTCTTAAAATTTGTGTCTCGTCATACTAATTCTTTTCGAAATCTCCTTCTCATGCGGTCTTGATGAAATTCGGGAATACGCTCTTTTATTCATAGTACCAAATTTCGCTTCAATTACCCTGCACCAAAGAACACCACTTTTTTTCATGAATTGGCTAAGCCACTTACCTTGGAGTGTCCGGTTTATATCCACAAAAGATCTCAACCCTAACCCATCCTGTTGCAACAGTTTTTTTTTAAGAATTTTACCCCATGCCACCAGATGATATCTCCTTTTATCCTTAGATTCATCATACAAGAATAAATATTAAATGGATTCTAATCTCTTAGCAACACTCATCGAAATTGTCAAAAGAGACATGTAGTAGATGGAAAGGTTGATCAATATGTTTTTAATTAGTGTAAGTCACCTACTTCTAGACAGGAGATTTCTTTTCTATCCCGCTAACCTACTCTTAAGTTTTGCTATGACAGGGTCTCACGTACGCACATCTTTATAATTAGCCCTTAATGGAGGCCCAAATATTTCATTGACAACTCCTTGCCTTTTGCAATTCAAGATATTTGTCAATTTAGTAGCACCATTCCCATCACCCATCTCACCAATTCAGACTTAAATTAATATTGAGACCAGAGATCACTTGAAAGCACAATATCTAAGATTGAGTAGTGCTCATTCATCCGGTTCGTAAAACACTAAGGTCGCATCCGTAAAACATAAGTGAGTAATTCCTCCACATGTTTACACACTCCAACTTAAGTCCTCTAAACAAATCCATGTCCCTAGCCATATCCAACAATTTGTTCAGTGCTTCCATGTCAACAATAAGTAGGAGAGATAATGGATTCCCTTGTCTAAGACCTCTGGAAACCTTGAAAAAATGAAAATGAGCCTCCATTCACCATGACCACTAAAGAATTTGTACTAATACAAGAATTAATCCACTTACACCATCTATATCTGAAGCCAATTCTCTTCAATATGTATTCAGTAAATCCCAATTGATGTGATTATAGGCTTTCTCCATTTTGCAGAGGACTCCATTTCGAAATAGTAGTTCATCCATCACTTTATTAGCCACTAAAATCGCATCTGTAATTTGTCTCCCTTTCACAAAAGCATATTGGTATTAACCTCCCACTATATCCATCAAATTGGCCTTCCTTCTAGTTAACACCTTCTTTATAAGTTTGTAGACGCTTCTGACAAGACTAATAGGTTTGAATCTTTGATGTTAATGGCCCCCTCCACTTTAGCAATTAGAACCAAAAAATTGACATTTAAAGATTTAACAAAAGATTCCACATTATACAATTCCTTAAACACTTTTAAAAGTCGTCTTTCATAACGTGCCAAAGTTTTTGTAGGAAATCCATGTTAAAATCACCATGGAAACATCCTCTTCTCTTTCTTCCTGGTCGCCCAAAGACACTCCCGGCGGCTTGCTCCTAGTTTCCCGTCATCCTCTTTTGTTCTTTTTGCCCTCAAAATCAGACCTACTCCTTCGCCATCGATCAACTAGGAAGTTGGCCTCCCTCACTTGCAATTGCATCTCTCTTTATTTTCCTCCAAGTCACGGGTTGCCGTACCCATTTTAAATTGAACCACCTTTTTGACTCAACGGCCTAGTTCGGTCCGTTCCACTTCTTTATCCATCTCGGCCCGTAAACTTCTCCCCATCAGCCCATTTGGCCTCTTTAAACTGGGTCATCTACAGTGAGGCCCAGTTCGTAAAAAATGAACAACAAAATGCCATTTTCTCTTCATGTTTCAGGCTTCACCAAAACGGCACTCTCCCTCCGCATTTTGATTGACGTTGTCTTGAATTTTGAATTTTGCCTGACCAGTCTCCATGTCGGATCTTATCTTCCCTACCCCGAGCTCTGTTTCACTGCATCAGCAAAACTCTTCGCCCTCTTCACTTTCAGGCTCACCCTTATTCCTGATATATAGTTGGCATAACAAAGCAACACCGGTGAACTTTCGTAGCCCTCCTCCAGCCTCTTCTCTATCTTCTTCGTAGTCAATGTGTTCACTCTAACCTTCAATGGTGCCTCACATTTTGTTCCCGCTACTTCAAGCATTGCGATCATCATCCTCCACCATCCACCGGTGTCCATCCCTTCTGGTATGAATATTATCCTCACTGTCTCCCCCTTCTCTGTTACTGCTAAAGGTTGTCCATGCCTGTTCCTGCCCAGAGTCACCAACAAATTGTGTCGTTTTCTCTTCTTGTTCCGGCTCCAGAACTTCCCTCCTTACTACAGTAAAAATCGTGAAAAGTTTTGAGCAAACTAATCAACCTCATCTGCCTAGAGCGATATTGAGACTTTAAATCACCTTCCATTCTCACACAGCCTCATACCTTCTGCTTGCTTCCCCTTGCAAACGACGTTGAAGGTTTTATTCTCTATAGCTAGAAATTTCCTGTCATTGGTGACTAATCCAACCATCATTTAGAGAGGAATGACATTCGTGTGATTTTGCGCGACCTACGTCTGTCTAGCAATTTCCGACCACTGAAACTTCTGCTCACCCACTCACAGTTTCGACGATTGCCGAGCATAGTCACTCACATGTCCTACTTCAATGATTAAACAATTAACAACATTTATTTTGATAAACTAGCAATTACTAATCATAAAACAACACAAAAACTAGGCTAATTACTGAACAACACAGCAACTCAACTAAGCTTGAATTATCGAGAAAACAAACTACCCACTTTTAGAAGGATGAGAAAATTCCAATTTATTGAAAGATGGAAGGGAATCTTATGTGTTGTTTGGCCTAGAGAGAGGCTAAATGATTTTACGGGTTTTTTTTCCTTTGGACAAGTCCACTATCCAAGTAGTATAATCTTTCTTGGCTCCAGTATGTCCAATCATCTTCTCCGATTTCTCATTCTAAAAATCATAATGAGATGAGGAAAAAAGGTTCTTTTGCAATTTCAGTCCTTAGTTAATTTAATGACTGACAAAAGATTAAGACAAATTTTAGGGACATGTAGCACATTCTCAAGAAGCAGATTAGGGTTAACCTTGATGGTTCCTGTTCCTACAATGGTGTCTAGAGACCAATTTCTAGTAACAATCTTCCTGCTACTTGGACATGAGGAATATGTGTAAAGGTGTTTTGAGGAAATGGTAATTTGATCACTTGCCCCTGAGTTTATTCTCAAATGATGTACTTGAGACATTTAAATCATGCGAGTGAGAAAACATATCTGAATATGCTAATAGACCTCTACCTATGGGTTTCTCTAGGTCCTCATTCTTGTTTTTTAGCTGTTCAATTTCGGTCTTGAGTTCACTCAAGTCAATGAGTTTTCTTCTTTCTGGAGATTAACTAATGGGCTTGTTTATAAGGCTTCTGTAGGGATTTCTTGTTCCTCCATTCTTTGCTTGAGGTAGGTGGCTTCCCCTGGAGCTTCCGACATTTTTCCTTGGTATGTTGATGCTTCTTAGACAAGGTACATCATACTTGGTCCTTATTCTCTCTTGGGTTTTCAGTGTTACTCATCTCTTTTCCTTGCTGACGTGGTTTGAAGTCTTTAGTTGCCATTGTTGAGTTGTCAGTAGTGTAGGGTTCTAGAATAACCCTCTCCTACTTTCTTTAGCATTAACCAGGATATTACCTCATTCAGAGATGCCAACGATTCTTTTCTAAGGATCTGAATTCTTACCTGATCGTATACTTCATTAACTCATGCCATCAATTGTTATACTCTGTTTTCTCCACCATCTTTTTCAGGGTAGTGGCATTTTTGTTGCTTTCAATTGTCAAGCAAAGATATTGATCAAGTTCCTGCCACCAGTTTTTTAATAGGTTGACATACTCTATGACCGACTTATTTCTCTGTTTTGCTGACGAAGCTTTTATATTCACACCATGATTAGGAATGCATCATTTACCTTGGAATACGTTTTTCTTATCGAATCACAAACTTCTTTCGCGTTGGATAAGAACATAACAACATTGTTTATCTCTGGTGCCATTGAATTCCAAAATCAAGTAATTATCATTGAATCATTTTCATCTCATGAATTAAAATTTGGGTCTCCTGGTTTTGGTCCAGTGCGCAGAATGCGACTAATTTTTCCTTTTTTCTTTTAGAATGGTCCGAATCAACTGTGACCAATTCAAGTAGTTTCTTTTAGAATGATCCCTAAACCAACCTGGATTGATTGGAATTTTCCATTAGTTTGTGCAGAATTTTCCATGTGAGAATTTGTGCCATTGATTTGAGACGTAGCATCCAATATAATTTAGGTTTTAAGGGAATTAAGCCAATTAAATAAACCAAAAATTAAGGGTTTTACTGGCTGGACTGCGGCTGTGGTGTGGCTGGGTAGTGGCAGCTAGACAACTAGACAGAGGCGGTTGTGTGACAGGGGGGGCGGCTGGGGGGCGCAGAAGCACCTGGGTGGCAGACGCAGCTGGAGGGTCTGTGCGGCTGCAGGTGGCTGGTCATGCGGCTGCTGTGCACGGCTGCTGGTGTGGCAGCTCGCTGATCCCGTGGCCTGTTGGTGCGCGGCTGCTGGTGGCAGCGCCTCTACTGGTGTGTGGCTGCTAGTGCTGTTGACCTGGCTTCTTTCTGGCTATGGAGGCTCGTGGTGGCTGGTATAGTGGCCAGCTATGAAGGCTGGATTCTTTGAAGGTTTTTTGTATTTTCAGCAATGAAAATCAAATGAGGTTTGTAAAAGAGTTTAGATTTCTAAACTTAGACTTCTGTTATCATGTCAGGAATAATGTGTTGTATTCTCATTAAATAATACGTTCCTATATATGCAAGTTATATTGATTACAAAGGATATATTTTACTCAGTACCCTTTAAATTAGTTTAATACTATTTATGCTTAAAGTACATTCTTTAATAAATATTAACAAATATATCAAAAATATAAACTATGTTATGTATTTAAATGAAAAGTCAAAACATCAAATATCATTATCTAAACCAGTTGATTTTAATTGAACTGATTGGTTTTTTGGCTTTTATTAGATTTGACTGATTTTCACCAGCTTTTATAGTATTTGATTTATTTACTAAACCAAATGGGCTATATCTCTGGTTCATGGTTGGACCATTCTGTTTGGTATAATTTAATAATTATTGTTCTAATCCTTGCTTGGTTGGGGAAACATAAAATTTTGTCATATTTACCTGAGGGAAATGATTCTTACTAATAATTTTTATGATGTAGAAACTGAAATTTATTAAGCAACGTGATGGGTTTATGGCCTTAGAATAATATGGAACAAATAATTGGAGAAACTAACTCGAGGTCGATAGTAGTATTTAGCAAGTTAATAACTTCATTATAACTTATCTTTAAAACATAATATATTCATCCCATTTATCTTATTACATGGAGTACTGAGAAAATAGGGACCTAAATTACAGGATTTGAAATTGCTTATTGTAATCTTTCACAAGGTTCTTAATGGCAAATATACTTTTAGGAGTTTTTTGCTTCCTGGTTGAAGGCTTGTTATATAGCTGCCTTAAGAGTGTTGCTATATTATAGTTATCCCACTCTTTTTAGATATTTAGTTGAATACTCTTTTACGCATGAGAGAGCTGTCATAATTACCATTAATGCTACCTAAGAGCCAATTAAGAGGCTGAAAGATGTTAGAATTTAGCATAATTCTATAGATTTTTACGACCTGACTTTGAGGAATTAAGTTTGTTGTGGTAATATTGGCACTGAATAGGAGAATATATTGAATGTTGTCACCATTCCTGAAACCGTATTAACTAGGAAATACAGTTTGAGAACCGGCCTCTAAATCTTCTATTTCTGCACCTTGCATTTGCTTATGATAAGTGATTTTAGTTTTATTTCTGTTCTGCTATTAGAAGACAATGTTGTGATCTTGTTGATTTCACAGGAAGTTGCTGTGAAGAAGTTTCTGGACCAAGACATTACTGGTGAATCACTTTTAGAGTTCAAAAGTGAGGTAAAAAGGCTTTTTGTCTATTCTTTAGGCATCAGTTGATCATATATCTCTGTGAAGCAAAGTCTAGTTACATTCCTTTCTCAAGCATGCGTTTCCTGATTCTTTTTTCTCATTATTGTGTGCCGTCAATAACATATCATATTTGTAGTATTTGAAACATATGGTTAATTGTATCTGATAATTGATCATCCCAATATATCTGATTCTTTTTTGAGAGAATTTCTTTTTAAGATTTTTATTATTAAATTTTATCACAAGAGTGATGAACTAATCATAATATCTGGTCCTAATACTTGAGGAACATTGTAGGTGATCTAACATGATAACCTTCCTAATACTTGAGGAACATTGTAGGTGATCTAACATGATAACCTAACATACTTGGACATGCATATAAATTGGGCAAGCCATATCACTTTTATGCAAGTATCATAGTTTTAGACATAGAAGCATGACCTTTTCCACTCTTAAAACTCTTCTGCAAGTATTATAGTTTTAAAGATAGAAACATGGATTTTTACATTTGCCAAAGGTTTTGGGATAATGTTTTACCCAGCTTCCCTTATAATGTTATTAGAGCAAGATTACCGTCTTGCAAATTGTGTTTTTCATTTTTGTTTTTTGTAATCATTTTTTTAAAGATAAAAAGTGTGAAATATATATTAACAATGTACTAAGGGGGTACCGGCCATATATAAAAGATTTACAAGAGTATTACAGTATTAATGATATTTTCAAAATCTTCATCTCTAATAATGTCATACTCTAACAAGATGGATTCAAAAAAATGATACCATCTCTTTCGATCTATAAGATGGTACCTCTTTATCCTTAAAAGCTCTAAAATTTGTATCTATCAGGATATTAAGAGTAAAAAGAGAAATAATAAGAGAGGTGAATTAGTCTTTTAAAAGTATCAATTAGGGTTAGGATTAGAGTTAATATTTTGAATTTACTTCACACCAGCCACTGCTGCATTGATTCCAGTCATGATAATGGTTGTTTTAATTGCTTATATCCTATAAAAGACTTAATCTTTATGTTATAATCAATGAAAGAAAAGAATAAAATTATTTTTCAGATTTCTCTCTTTGTTTCTCTTCTATTCCTCTCTTCTCTCTCTCTTTCTTTCTCAAGATCAGATAATCATGTCAAAGGCTTCTGACAAGGTGGTATCAGAGTTTGAGAATTCGGAAGCGATCACCGTGAAGGAGATCGAACTGAAACTTATTGCGTTCATGGAAGAATCGTGGCGGCAGTTCAGCATGATCCTGAATTTGCTTTGTGGCAGATCCACCTACTAGACCGAAGAAAGCTTGACATGCCTGGCAGAGGCATTCCCGGAAGATGCGAGGCCGACGGCTCAAGGGGCCTCACCTGACGGCCAACTGACCCTTCTTCCGCATAATGAAGAAGAAGAAAAAATTTGGGTTTTAGATAAAAATATAAACCTTTAAACCGGTTCAGTTATTGAATTGAGCCAAACAACACAGACCGAACCAGACTAATTTATCCGATTCAAACTGGCTCAGCCAACATTTTGAACCGAATTGGTTCACTTGCTCTCCTTCTCTTTCTTTCTCAAGCAATAGTGACGGGGAATAAACACCCTAGAGGTCTTTCCCTCGTTCGCCTCGGCTAACCAGCTAAAAAGAGCTACCCCTCAAAAGCTCTGCTCGGTTCCACTTTAATCTGCGTGAGGTCAAAATGGAAACCTGCAAGTCTCTCATTCTTCAGATGGGTTATGATATAGAAAGGGAGAAGCGGAAGAAGGAGAAGTGGAAGAAGAAAACGTTACTGCAATAACATGATTACAATGCCCAATAGTGTAGAAGCAGTAGAGGCAGTGGTGTGGAGGGGCCAGTCTGTGAAAATTAAATTTTCACGAGGTAAAAGCAGTAGAAAGCTGCTTTAAAAATATATATATACACATTTATATATAATAAAAAAATTGATTTTATGGGGATAGAAGCAGTAGAAAACTGCTTTAGAAAAAAAAAAGATATATACATATATAATACTTAAATATATATATATATAACTGCTTTAAAATATATATATGGAAAAAAATTAAAAAAAAATATATATATAATAATAATAATAAATTATATTTTAACATTGGGGACAAAGTTGATGCTGAAAGAGAGGGTATTGTCAGAATATTAAGGATTAAAAAAAAAGAGAAATAATAAGAGGGGTGAATTGGTTTTTTAAAAGTATCAATTAGGATTAAAATTAAAGTTAATATTTTGAATATATTTCACAGCAGCCACTGTTACATTGATTCTGGCTATGATAGTGGATGCTTTAATTGCTTATAACTTTTAAAAGACTCAATCTTTATGTTATAATCAATCAAAGAAAAGAATAAAACTATTTTTCTAATTCCTCTCTGCCTCTCTTCTATTCCTCTCTTCTCTTTCTCTTTCTTTCTCAAAATTAGACAGTCATGTCAAAGACTTTTGACAATCTCTTTCCAAATGACCCAAAAAAATGGTCAATGGAATCAATTTACAACCTCTATACTTTTGTATAACCCCATCCATGCCAAAATTTCTCCTTTAATAGAACCTGCCATCACCTAATTAATCCCCAAAAGACCATAAATCATGCTCCACAGATCATAAGCCATAGGACACCACAAGAGAAGATGGTTGCAAGACTCCACATCTTTCATGCATAAGTAACATATGTTAATTACTAAAAAATTCTCAATAGTAAGGTTTTACACCTTGGATTTGTCAATAATGTGATTAACCCTGGTTGGCCATGCTATGTAGGTGGCTTATTTGATTGTAGGGGAGAAGAATCTAATTTTTAGATGGAGGAAACAATATAAAGGGTTTTTTCTTGGCTAGATTTTAAGAATTTTAGATCATACATAATAGAGTGGCCATAAAATTCTTGTGAAAAGGGCTGCTCTATGCCCCTCTTACTCGGTTCTCTTAGACATGGCGATGCTGCGTTTTTATTTGGACTCTGATACTTCTTGTACTGTTGTTTCCTTCATAGTACATGATGAATTGTAAATTGTTTTTGTTTGAACTGGAAGGTCTGCATCATGAAAAGACTCAGGCATCCCAATGTTGTTCTGTTCATGGGAGCTGTTACACGTCCACCGAATCTCTCAATTGTTACAGAGTTTCTTCCTAGGTATGCTGACCCTTTATGTTTCTTTATGTGTTTCTGTTGTAATTTTGGCATATTGCTTTTATTTCTGAAATTATCTGGTATAATATTTCTTCATATAAGAGACCATCTAATTTTATTGTGCCAAAATTGCACAAAATCATATACTGTTAGGACTGTTCACAGTATACAATGTGTGAGTAACTTGTGTTTTATGTTAAGTGGCTTTCATTAGTTTAAATAAAGCAATGCAACAAATTTTCATTGCCATTACATTAAAAAAATTTATCTGATTCTTTGTGCCTGTCATTGTTGTAACCAAAAGAAGGGAAGAAAACTTCTCAAGAAACGGAAAAAAAAAAAAGAAGGGAGCTAAGAAACACTCAACTTAAACAGTAGAAAGGGGGAGAAGATAAGGGCTCTATTTGGTATTTTCTAAATAATAAATTTTTATATTTGAGAACATGCATACTGTTATTCCACCCCTGAATATTTTGTTTACAGGCATCCTGTGCTTGATGATGGCAGCTTGGGGAACCTTTTACACATTTTGGTTTCTGATCTTCTGTTTATCTTTTTTATTGGGTAGCACACTGCTGGTTCTTTCTAATGATACTTCTTTTTCATCTAAAAAAGACCGTGTGGCGGTATGTGTATGCATGGTGCTCAAGGAACAATAATTTTCTAATAAACATTAGAAACAGTTTTCTAAAATTTCCGAACACATGTCACAATCTAACTCTTATTTTCTAATATTTAATTCTGTTTTCAATTTCCACATTAGAAACCTGTAGCAAAATTGAATGGCTTGAAAAGGCTCAGCGAGGGATAACATTTCTGGCACATTTTTTTTCTTTTTGCTGGAAGTTGACTTTCTTCCAATTGATGTGGAATGCTTTTTGTCCATTACACATTGTTTGCTTCTTTAGCCTTTATTTCTCGGTGAAACATAGTAGTTTTGTATTCATATCTTTTTCACCTGGAGAATGAAAAGTACTCAGAATTTTTGCGCTTCCATCATCAACATTTCTATTCATATTTCCATACTCAAACTGGATCTGATTGCTCTTCTTAGTTGAGACTTTACTGTAATTATTAGATTTTTCTGTGTTAATGTTATTCAAAAACTGAAGCAAAATTTATGTTTTGCAGAGGTAGTTTATATAGATTACTTCATCGGCCTAATAATCAATTAGATGAGAGAAGGCGTTTGCGAATGGCCCTTGATGCGGTACGACTCTTTTATTTGCTCCTTGCATCTTAATCAGTCAGCAATCTGCACCCATGCACTTATCTAAATAAAATGCTGAATCTACAGATATGTTCTTTAATCAGTGAGGCTTCTGTATTTTCTTTTTCTCTGATGGTAACTGAACTCTCAGGCTCGGGGAATGAATTACTTACACAGCTGCAGCCCAGTGATTGTACACCGTGATTTGAAGTCCCCAAATCTTCTGGTTGATAAAAATTGGGTTGTTAAGGTAGGATATTAATTTCCCTGCTCATTGCTGACCACATTAAAGTATCTTATATATGCCAAATATGCATAATTCCTAACTCTGTGATTTAGGTATGTGATTTTGGGTTGTCCCGAATGAAACACAGCACATACCTTTCTTCTAGGTCAACAGCAGGGACGGTAAGCTGACTAAACAACTTGTTCATGTTTATTCTAGCAACATTTCTGCTTCTTGATCTTATTTGTGTAAATTATGTTCTTTTATTTTTATTTCTTAGCTATCTAGCTTGCTTGAGGCTGCCAATACTTTGTACAGTTCATGAATGTGTTTCTATGTCAGCTTTTATTGTGATCTACTTGGTAAGTTAATATACTGACATGTTCTTCAGGCTGAGTGGATGGCTCCGGAAGTGCTAAGAAATGAGCCTTCAGATGAGAAGTATGCCTTCTTTTGCTTGTGCAGCCTGCAATTTCTATCTTTTTTCCCCTTGATTATCCATAGTTTTAGGTAAATAACATATTTGGTGTTGTGATGAACAGGTGTGATGTTTATAGTTTTGGGGTCATATTATGGGAGCTTTCTACAATGCAACAACCATGGGGAGGAATGAACCCTATGCAGGTCGTTGGTGCTGTAGGGTTTCAGCATCGTCGTCTTGACATTCCAGATAACATGGATCCTACAATTGCAAATATTATTAGGAGGTGCTGGCAAACGTGAGTATACTTTCACCATTGTCTCGCCGTAATTCTCACAATGCCAATTAATTATAGTTTTTGTGTTTTGAAATGATTACAGCATCTTGTAAAGATATAAAAAATTGTGCCATTTACTTTTCCATTTAATGGAAAGGGAATGATTCAGCCATCATTAGAGGTCTTTGTTTAAGTAATATGTTTGATTCTAAACTTTCTTAGCTGCATTTGATATCTCTATATGTTAACAGAATGATAAAATATCCAACTAATTATATTATGGTGCTTGAAAATGCCATTTGGAGCTGGAACTTGCATTTATTTTATTTAGTGTTTTCATTTGGTTGTAGGGATCCAAAATTGAGGCCGACTTTTGCAGAGATCATGGCTGCTTTGAAGCCATTGCAGAAACCTATAACCAGCTCTCAGGTTCTGAGACCAGGTATGTCTGTAAGTAATGCTCGTGAGAAGGGTCAGCCATCAAGATTAGCAGAAGAAGAGACAGGTTGAAGAAGAAAAAGCTTAAAACAAAGATATCGCGGCAAATTAAATGCCAGTATACGGAGTCTGGTTGTTTACCGGGGACTCGAAACGAGTAGGAAATTGATTGAAGGCACACCATAAGCCAACAAAATTTGAGATGATTGTGATTCTTTTTTGTTTTTTAAGTGCTTTCTTTTCTTCCAATCTCAATGCTGTTGTGTATTTGTTTGTAAAAAGAAGGAAAAAGAAAAAAGATCATTTGTAATCAAGGTTTTCCCAATTTTGTGTTTATGGGTGGGTTTTTTTTTCTTTTTTTTCTCTTTTTAACAATGTAAAGTGGAGTTATAAATAACTCAAAAACTCATTTTGCTGCCATCAATAATCACATAGGAGAGAAACACAATTAGGAAAACAAGAATCATTTAATCTAAGATTACTAGAATACACATGATATTAGAATATAAACAATAGATTTCATATTCTCTCATCACTTCTGATTTTTAGTATATTAGAACTGGTCTAGAGTTAGAATTCTGCCACTTATAGCTGCCAGGCTTATCCTTCTTTTTTTCCTGCTGCCAAACAGAACTCATGAAAATCCAGAAAGAAAAAAGCAAAGGAAAACCCAGTATTTAAATCCTATCACATATTGGGATAAGGTAGGGACCAAAGACCAACCCCTTCTTTTATCAGGTGTGACATTTCAGCTTTGTTTTCATATCTTCCAAGCTTAGATTTTTTCTTTATCCATTTCAAAAATGGCTACCTTCTTTGGTTCTCCTCCATTTTTATCACCCCCTCTGGCTAGAACCCATCACCTCTCTTCATCACCACAGCCTCCTCCTCCTTCTCCTCCAACTCCCCCTTCACAACCTCAATCTCCATCTCCCCAGCTGAGTACATCATCGTCCGAGGAGCAGCTATCGCCTGCGTCGGTTCAGGTGCAGCAGCAAAAGCCTACTAAGCGCACAACTGTTGAAACCACAGACTGGATAGCTTCCTCCTTAACCCGGCGGTTCGGGCTCGGCGCTGGCCTTGCTTGGGCTGCATTTCTTGCTGTTGGCGTCATCTCTGAACAGGTCAAGACTCGCCTGGAGGTCTCCCAACAAGAAGCAAACACAAGGTAGAAACTTTCTTTCTCCAATCATGGTTTTATTCGGAAAATCCACAATAAAGATGTTCACTTTGGTAGAATTACTTATGAAGCTAATTACCCATTTGCTGCTTCACTCATAATTTTCCCATAATTCATCGCTAAACGTGAATCAACTGAGAATTTTTTGTCAACTGTTAAATGCAACCGTGATCAAAGATCCCTCTCTTTGGTTTCTGCAGAGACGTTGGGAAGGAAGAAGAGGTTGTGTTGCCTAATGGAGTGAGGTAATTTGATATTTCTAAAACAACCCCTTTAACTGTTTGATAAAAGTTCTCATTTTTTCTTCACGCCTGATTCAGGTACTACGAGCTGAGAGTCGGTGGCGGGGCTTCGCCAAGAACAGGAGACCTTGTCGTGATCGAGCTGAAGGGAAAAGTAGAAGAAAGTGGGCAAGTGTTTGTTGACACATTTGGCGGAGACAAGAAGCCTTTGGCGCTGGTTATGGGTTCCAGGCCTTACAGTAAAGGTCTGTGTGAAGGAGTGGAGTACGTTTTAAGGTCCATGAAGGCGGGAGGTAGGAGGAGAGTCATTGTCCCTCCTAGTCTTGGGTTTGGAGAAAAAGGTGCAGATTTGGGCTCTGGAATTCAGATTCCACCATTTGCCACTCTCGAGTATATTGTTGAAATTGACAGAGTCTCCATTGCACCTGCTTGAATTTTTCTTTGTTGCTTTTTAAAGATTTTTGAGCAAATGGTAATCAGGATAAGCTGAAACGAAATTGATGTGTATATTATTAGTATATGTTGCCAAATTTTATCAAGAAGTAGATATTATTATGTAAAAAAATATATAAGACACTTGATTGTGCAAGTAACAAAAATATGTTCAGAAAATTATATCTGAAGTCTACTACAAGCAAAGAATTTCGAAAGTTCAGAAAAAAATGAGAAAAAGAGAAGAAATTAAAAAGTAATAATTTAAAAAATAATAATCAAATTAATTTTGGGAAATATAAAATTTTAATATAATTTATAGAAAATAATAAATCTCTAATAAATCTCTATAGGACAACGTGAAATTTTAATATTCTTCTTGGAGTATAGGCCAAGAGACGACCACGGTTAATGTTAATGAATGTTTATCCTCATCAACTCTCATGAGATTCCGTTTCCTTCAATCTGGTGTTTTTCAAACTCGAGAACTTTCAACTCGAAAGGAAAAAACACAGTTGAAAACTTTGAAAATTCCCATTTTTTCTAAATCAAATATCAACCACATATTCATCCTAACTCGCCATCCGAAGGGACGTTTACCCCCGCTGAGGCTACCTCTCTGTAAGCTCCTAAAACTCAAGAGTACAAGTTCAGAAAGAAGAAAAGAACACATTCCTTGATTTATCGTTCACCTTCAGAGAATGGGGACTGTTCTGGACTCTCATTTCTTGGCCTTCACTGCGATTGTCACTGTCATTCTCTTCTCCTCTATTTCTTTCTTTCTTTCTTTCTTTGCCTGTAGAATTTTAACTCTCATAACTTCGGGCTGTTTGGTTTTTATAGGTGGGTTATCAGTTGTTGTTCTTCATAGTCACAGCCTTGCTCAAGTTTGACAAAGTCACTGATTTTGCTGGTATCCTTCTCTTCCTTTCTTCTTTCTATATGTGTGCGTCTATTATTTGCTTCTCGTTTTGCTTTCGACTATAAATAGCAAAGTTTTGTATGCTGATTACTCACTTTTTATCTAAGAAGAAGTAGAGGAAAGTGAATGCTGAATGGGAACAGACCCATGTGAAAAATTAAAAGCTTCTAAGAAACCTAATCCTTGTCTTGTTTGATTGTCTGGAATTAGTGGAACTTTCATGAGGAAATGATTTCGTCTTGCCAACTGCACTCTGATTATTAATCTTTCCTCTCAGGAAGCACAAATTTTGTAATAATTGCTCTGTTGACATTTCTTATCAGAGGAACATGGCACTTTAGACAGGTGATTTTCTCTTATAGAATTCTGGATAGTTGCTTTTCTATTATCTGACTCCTTAATTGAGCATTGAACTTTCTATTATTAACTCCTTATTGAGCATTGAGCAATAACTGTTTACATGAAAGACTTCTTCCTCTACTGATGATGGTGAGGTGTGAAGAACAGAAGAGGTAGAAAATGAAACCTTCGTCCACATTCTGTTGGATTTTTCTTTTCGATTATTGTTTACATTATATTCATTTTTTACGTGATCTTCAAGCCAATGTTTCAATGATTAATTACCTCAAAATGATTTTATGATAACTTTTTTTATGGAGAGTGCCAATATTTCAGCAAACTTTGCACATAAATTTAATTGAAGAAGTATTCTAACATGCTGCTATTTGCAAGACATTCTTCACTCCAAATCTCTCTTTGTTTGCTTCATCTTTTGCCAGCTTCTGATTTTCTTTTTGATCCAAAGTTTTTGTTGTTTAATCTTCTGTTTACTCTTCTTTTATTGAATCCATCTGCATGTATGTGGGGTTTTAGATGGTTGCATTTGTTCTCTTAGAGGCTAATGGTGGATTCAAACTCTTTGCCTCCCACTCTCTTGAATTTTCTTGACATAATGCTTTCTGAATATGACTGTTATTTAGGATTCTTGGTTAAGCATCTGATATTTGTATATGTTCTGACCTTCTTGTGTTTTGGAATAGTTTATACTTGCTTCTATTGAAATATAAGTTAGAAATTAAACTAAACTGATGCCTTTGTGAATTATATGGCCTTATCTGGTATTACCTTCTTATGAACAATTTTGGGGCTAAATTTTCAGATAATCCTTACTCTGCTTGTAGTATCATGGGGCCTTCGTCTGGGACTATTTCTGTTAATGAGGTATAAAATATTTCATAGCACTACATTCCTCTATTAGATTCTGTTACAAACATTTATTGCCGACATGAAATGTTGATTTCAGCAGGAAATGATTTTATGTTGTCTCTTTTGATTGATTATAGCTAGCATAGATTGGGTACTTGTTGTTTGTTAGTAGTTGTATAGGTAAGAGTCAGCTAAATCGGGCCTTCTATCTCAATTTCTTAGATGTAACTGAATGGAATTGTTCACAACACAGATCTATCAGGAACCACTTATCGTTAAGTTAATTACAGGCCATAGCCTGTAATTTCTTAGATGTACATCCCATTTGTCTGTTCAGTATCCACATAGCTCTCCTATTCTCCAACTGTTGCAAAAATGCCAATGGCAAAATATTGAACTGGAGAACTTTTACATGAATATCTCTGTGATATATGTTATCTTTATTTGTCAACTACTATCTTCAAAATGTTTTATCAGGATATTAAAATGGGGAGAAGACCGGCGTTTTGATGAAATGCGTAGTAATTTGTGGAAATTAGCAATCTTCTGGCTACTTCAGGTAAGTTATCATTTTTTCCTTCTCCAAAATAGTCAGTCACAGCAGATTCAGAGTGATGCTTGTCTTTGAAATTTGATGCATTCAATTTTCGATCTACTTTGCAGGCTGTCTGGGTCTGGACTGTAAGTTTACCGGTAACAGTGATTAATGCAATTGACAGGAATCCATCTCTTCAGGCTGCAGATATAATTGGGTGGATTATGTGGTCTATAGGTTGGTTTATTGAAACCACATCTGATCAACAAAAACTTTCTTTTAAAAACTCTCCTGAAAACAGAGGAAAATTTTGCAACATTGGACTATGGAAGTACAGTCGACATCCAAACTATTTTGGTGAGGTTAGTATCAAAACTTTGAAAGAGCAAAGTTCCCTAGGAAATGATAAATTTTCTGTAAAACCTTATTCTGCGTCTCAATTCTTTTCTAAGTCCTTTACTTCACTTCTCAATCTTTCTTCCTCATAGCACTAGTCTTCGGGTAACATCAATGATTGGGAGAGGGGAAATGGAGGTTATTTGATCTATGTAGTAAAGCTTTAGTTGTAGGAGAACGGATGAAACGGAAATGACCATATATGCCACCCGTTATTCCCTCTCTTCCCCTTCTCCCAAACATAGTCTTAATGCGCATTTATACTTAAAACTATATTACAGTGTCATCAATGCTCTACTAGGATACACTATGGGTAGGATTTTGATTTTGATTCTTATTCTGTCAGGTTCATCAGATTAAGTGAATGTAAAAAAATTTTTGTGCTCAGATTTTGCTTTGGTGGGGAATCTTTGTGGCTGCTTCTCCGGTACTGGAAGGTGCTGAGTGGCTGGTGATCCTAGGACCAATATTTCTCACATTGTTGCTTCTTTTTGTCAGTGGCATACCATTGCTCGAGGTTTGATTTTCTTTCCTGAAACTTGTTGATCAAAAAATTATCCAGAACCATTTTCTTGTCATGATAATATTGTACTGCAACAATGGAAACAGGAGTCAGCAGACAAGAAATTTGGCAACATAACTGCATACAGCGTATATAAGAGGACAACCAGGTCTTCTTCATTCTTTTGTTTACTATTTAGCTTCTTTTTATCTGATTTAAGGAGGAAGTAACTGAAGTTTATGGTAGGAGCCATTTAATTTTTTGCTTGTGCTGTTTCAGTCCTTTAATCCCACTACCACCAGTAGTCTATGGGAAGTTGCCGTCATGGTTGAAGGCAACGTTTCTCTTTGAATTTCCTTTATACAGTCGTAATCTTCCACAAGAAGGGCTAAACTGGTAAGTCCATGATTTTCTGAAATATTTATTTATCGATAATGTTATTCTCATTTTAAAAAGTGCCGTAAACTGTATGTATTTTTTACTTTATCTTAGCTCTAAGAGGGGGAAAAAAGATAGCTGTTTCTGAGAGTTATTTTTTTCTCATGAATTTCCTTTATTCACGTTCTGGTCGAACCTCATCTAAATTTTATAGAAGGTGAAGTCCTAATAGTTCATTTTTGGTTTTTGGTTGTGGGTTTGGCTTGGAGGTTAATATCTTCTTCTATGAGAACAATTGCTTTAGTATGAAATTATCAATGACAAATTTGTTTTAGTTTGTTTTCTTTTTCTAAAGTATGAGCGTGCTTTATGGAATTTATGACTTGTGCAAGGTGTAGAACAAGTCTTGGAGAGCACAGCAATGGAGGAAAGGTGGATTAGGGCTTCATAATCCTTTGAATTCGCTGTCGGATTTGCTCTATTGACTCCTGATCTCAGGCTGAAACAGTTGCATTCATGTGGCTTTTTGGGGGATCTCTTCTTCATGACTAGCTTCTTTGTGCTTCTGTGTTTCTATTACTGGCGACTAGTAATTTTGAATGCATATAAATTAACATTAGCATTTATTTTTCATTTGAAACATTTCAACCAATTCTGAGTTGTTTGTTGCTTTAAATTATATCATAGTTTGATTGAATTATTGTTACTATTTTCTTTAAACTTTCATAATTATTAATATATCATGGCAGAAGAGTACTTCAACTATTGGTAATTGGTTTGAGCACTTTAAAAATACAGTGATACTAGTAGTCTCTGCCTCTTCTTTTTATTTTTTAAAAGGAAATTATGTAACTACATATCATGACATGCACCATTTTACCGAAGCACTAAATTTCATACTGCACATTACCCTGTTCCAACAAGATCATCTCCAATTAGGCAACACTTGAAGTAATTATTTCAAAAATTGATCATGGATGCTTCCAAGATCTTCCTAAGGGGCTCAGTTCGACCCATATGAGGTTTCCAACATGTATTAGAGAAGTATCTTGAACTTTATACACTGAATATAATTACATTTCTAAAGATGGAATAAGTAATTAGTTGTGGGAGTTACAACTGCAGAACTCAGCCTACATAACAGAGACCTCCTAAAGCTCGAGGTGAAGACAAATGAATAATTAAGGAAAAAGAATGCACGGTGCGTAACGCAAAATCATACACCTGAAGTGTTATTGATGTTCTGCAAAGGAAATGACAGCCCCAGATTTTGTTTCATTCGATGTGTGCGAATGCGAGCAAAGAATATATATCACCCATAAGTGTAGGCACACAAGGTAAACCAGAGACCACAGCTTGCCGTAGGATTCTTCGTCAGAAACACAGCTCCGGCTAAAAATATAGCATCCAGTTGCTGAACCAGAGATCTGAAGTGCTTCTTTCCAGATCGGATTTTGTCTTCGAACATCGGTTCAGTTTTGTCTGTGCAAGATCCCATTCTCCTGATTCTAGATCTTTGATGATGCATCAGTCATAAGTACAGACTTATTATCATCTAGGAACCTTGAAACTGCCTGGCAGGGTACATCGATGTGCAAGTCAAAATAAAATCTGTAATTCTTGGGTAAAAATAATGATTTGGCGTAAAAATTTACCTCAATTCTGAATAGTAGAGTTGCCTTCTCGGAAGAAAGAGCCTCAACCTAGTTGAACCAGCAAATGAGAAAAATGAGAACTCGCAATAAAATACTACACATGAATCCTCAACAAATTGATTTTTACACCAAATGGAATACCCAAAAGATGCAAAACAAGAGCCTAAACTGTACTCATTTCAGTATTAAGAAATACCATGCAATTGTAATATTCCTTAACAAATTGAAAGTCTAGAGTCCATGTCTTTCAAGGTTTCACAAAATGGAATAAAAAAGACACAAAACAAGATCCTAACTTACCTATTTCATTATTTATTTAAGAAAAAAAAACCTTACCTATTTCAATATTAGGAAATACTATGTAATTGTAATATTTATGTACTATCAAGCTATTAAGCTTATTTAGGAGTTATTACCTGTAGGTTTCTTAGCAGCGTGCATTGATTGTATATTTACCTATGATCCTACTTAGTCTTTTTAGATCATTCAATTAATTAGTTTATTTTTATTCTACTATCAATAAATAAAGTACTCTAACTTAATTATTCAGTAGACTGTTCATTTGACTATCGTACAAATGTTGAGTTCTTAATAAATTTTTTTTTCTAAATATGATGTTCGAGCTCTCTTTGTCTTATATCACATTCTCTCCTCTATGGTCGAAAATTAAAAAAAAAAAATCAGAAATGTATGACATAAAATTAGAAGATCAAATGTTGCAGAAGCAAACCTGAGCCTGTTTCTGAATTAAATGGTCAGTCAGCTGACTAAGCCTTCGTTTCAGCTCAACTTCTACTTCTGTTGGGTCCTCCATTTCTTTTCTCATCATTTCAAGGCTTGCTTCCAACTTCTCTGCCTGAAATTTAGATCGGTAAGGGAAACATACCAAAAAATGTAGCAGTAAGTGAATATGGAGAAAGCAGGAAATATAAATATCAGTTCAACTGGGGGTAATTTTTTCACTTATTCACATGACAAGTACAGAAGAATAGCATATAACTGCAGTAGCTAGAAGGGAGAAAAGGTTCTTTTATTTATTTATTATTATTAAACTTATTTTTTTTAAGGGTTGGAGGAATTACACTTAATGAGTCATTGGAGTTTACACCAATCAAAGAACTATGAATTCATTTTTTCAGCAAAAAGAGGAAGACATTATAAACAGAGGTACCACAGGGATGCTAGCCATGTACATCAGAAATCAACATTTACACGAGAATCAGTCAAGATTGCAATGATATCCCAATGATCTTCCCCTTCTAAATTTCTTTGTCAAAAAAATAAAAAGATCTTCCCCTTCTAAAGAGTGCGGGACCTTCTACAAAATAGACAAGGTCTGAAGCCAAGGATCCCTAGATGTGACCAAACTAAATTCAACACCCTCAAACACTCTGCAGTTCCTTCCTTCTCCAATAAGGATGGCTCTTTTTTGTTACCATGAACAAAAGAGCGCAGGCAAAACCCTCGTTGCCCTTTATCCAGGGGAAAAAAGGTTAATGTTTTTTGCTTCTATCAACTCCACATTTTATCAAAATGGTGATCCCCTATAATCCAATTTTTAATGTGCATTTCAGTGAACATATGGGTAATTAGAAGAAAAAGGGGGGTTCCTACATCAACTGCTATCTATGGAGCAGAAGGACAAGCTGGAATCTGCTGATCAAACAATGTTTGCTGAAAATTCAAAGCATCAGGTCATTGTAAAGCAAATCAGTGATTGAGAGAAATCTCTTATCAAATTACTCAAATCTTAAAACATGAAAGCTAACCTTGTCTTGCAATCGTCCAATTTTATCAGTCACAAAAGCGTACTCTGCCTCTAGAATTTCACGTTCAAAGGGAACTCCTTTTGCAGCTGCTAGCTGCATTATTTACATATTTGAGGAAAAGAATATCACAAATTGGTAAACAAAGAATGATCAGAGTCCAAAGAACATATCTTACTTGGTTCAAGAACGTTCCAGTCTGGTGAGTCTCAGAGATCCTCCTCTTGAGTTCTACAAGGAGAATGAAGAGTTTCACGGTCAAGTACAATAAACTAGAATAAAAATCTCAGTTACAAACAAATTATAAAACCACACATGAATTATGTATACATGCTTTAAAAGTATTCATCTGTCTATTCTGTTATTTACTAATGGCTTCAAAAAATAACTTTAAAACACTCACACTACCATCTCTTCTGTGAAACCTTGAACTGTTTGGAGCTTATCTGTTTTTTGTTGTCTTTTCTTTTGGTGGGGGGGGGGGGGGGGGGTTGGTTTAGCAGGGATGGGGTACTTTACAAAGTGACATACGATTCGATAAATTAGAGGAGTTTAGCTTTAATAAATAAAAGAACAGGAAGAAATTCCAAAAAATAGAAGTTAAGGAATATAGAGAAAATTGGGAATTAAGATAAAGGAACATCAAAGGATACAGGAGACAAGCAAGAACATGGAGCAGGAAATAAAACCCATCAAATAGTCTCAGTATAATCTTGTTTTCTTATCTAAATCTTCCAAGAAAAAATTAAAGAAATCTAATTAAATAGCGAGAGAGAGAGGAAAATAGTGAAATAAAAAAAAACCTAGCAAATAGTCTCAATATAATCTTATTTGTTTTTGTCCTAGAAAAAATCTAATAAATCTATCTAAAATAGCCTCAGGAAATAAGAAAACTAAATAATGAATATTTTATTTAAGAGAAGAAATATTAGAAGGGAAGAACAATTACAAACTAGAGGATAAGTTATCCTCCAAACAAGAAAGAAACAAAGTAGAAGTAGTTCTAATAAATGATTGCAACTTTGTGTGTGGCTTAAAAAGTTACCCTGAAAAACCATCGGGAGAAGAGTACAAAAATATTCCTTACACTAAAATAATTCCATGTTGACTTCTTGGACAGAGCATTTAGTTCAGGTCAAATCCTCTCCTCCTTGGTTCATTCAGAACAATGATTTTATCAGCAAATTGAATTCCGATTTACAATCATTTTCTTCCTTCTTTTTTCTTGAAAAAAAATACAACCATTTTTTTCCCTTCTTGGTTCTCCCAAGTGAAGAAATCTAATAAGTTAATGGATTATTTAATATTCTTAACAAAATTTATATTTATGTCTTTATAACAAAAACTCAGGGTAGGATATATTCATCAGTTCAAACAGTCCCGATACTCTTCCAAGCAAAAATTTTCCCAAACAAGGCAGTAAGACTGCCTATTTTACTGCTATGAGTAATAGCAGGATTGGTTTCCAATTCCATTTGTTGGCCTACCAAACAAGTCTAGATGCTAAAGTAGCCTACAAGAATCTTGTTTTTTTTATCATCCACCACTAAAAGAATTAAAAATGCCTGGGATCATAGACCCATATTTTCCTTAAATGACTACTACACACCTCAAAAAAGCTTATTGTCTTTTTTCCCTCTTTCTCGTTTCCTCTTTCATTTATCAATCAGTTTCAAAATAGAGATATATACCTCCATGGACCAGCTCTTTCAACCCAATTTGTTCTCGCAGTTCTGCTATCTGGTTAATCTGGTACACATCAAGAAGAAAAATATGAATAAGTTATATAAAGAGATATTGGCTAGTCGTATCAGGAAGAAACCAAAAGAATATTTATTATGTTTTATGAAATAGTAAATCACTGCCTCGGTAATTATTCATCTCAATCAGTAGATCATCATGGCTTTCCACAAGTACTCTCAGCCAACAATGACCAAAGTTGCCACTGTTCATCCATTGTAGAATTCTCAAGGCAATAGGGGAAAAGCACTCTCATAATCTGTATAGGAAAAAGCCTAAGATTTGCCCCAGCAAGAAGAACTCCTATTAAGAATTCTGAAGACAACTGAATTTCCAGTTTGGCACATATCATCGAACAAGGAATTTTGAGGAACATCATTTATTTCATTTTTCTTTCCTCTGACCTAAAATGGGAAAAAGAAAAAGAGAAATAGAGTACAAACTTGATTAAGAGTTGTTTCAAAACTCACAATCTATGCAAAAGACAGAGTACAAATCTTCGTACAACTTTCCCATCTATCCTTATTGAACCAAAGCAACTAAAGCAAGTCAAAATTTTTCTTCAAAACAGACCTACACAATAGAAGGGTATGCATAGGATGAGACTTTCATCCTACCTCTACTTCCAGTTTCTTCTGTGCGGCAGCCAGGGATCTTGCAAGGTCAGCATTTGCAGTCTGTAATCAGAATTGATCTTTAGATACATCAAATGAAAACTAAATTAGCATTGCACTTTCAGAATACTGACAAGGACAGGAAGAAGAAAAGCATAGTCTGAATAAAATCCACGTTGTTAAACTCTCGTGGAACTAGGCAACCTAGAGAAAGAGGATGGAATTTAGAAGAAAATAGCAGTATAAACAAAACATCAAGCAGCCATCTCAACCTGTTTGCAATACCTCTAGTTTGGCCAATCGTGCAAGAACTTCCATCCTAGTATTATTATGCTTTTGCTTCTCCAGCTCAACAGCTTCCATTGTTTCCATCGTAGTTGTTTGAAGCTTTGAAGCCTAATGCGTGTAGATAGACAAATGAGCATTCATCGTCTATGAAAATCGAGAAGCAGAACAAGTGCCTCTATGCTATTTAGATTTCAATATCAAGTTACATGTCATGGAAATTTTGTTCCCTCTATAATTAGAAATAGAATATATGAATTTCACTCCCAAAAGCTGCAACTCAGGTGCATTGGGAGTTAAAATGAGTTCAACCGAAACTTGCTCAAAGTTAAGCTACAGAAATGCTCAAGTCAAGGATCAAGAAGCTTAAGATCAATATCATGATCATGCACATGCAAATGATTAGAACTGACTTCAGAGGATCTGGTCAAACTAATTAATCAATATTTTGTTTGAACAAGAACTCCTTCCTCTGTCTTAAAGGTTATAATGCAACACAATAATGATCAAGCTTATAGTTTACACACACCAAAAAATGGGACTGCATGCTGGCGTACATGCACGCAAAAAGACAGCGAAAGGAATCGACGTCACAAACTCTGTCAATAACAACATAAATTCTGTAATGATACCTCTTGTGCTTGTTGTTTAGCTTGTTCTTCAAGTATTTTCTCTAAACTCTGCTTTTCTCCTTCCAATCTGGCGACCATATTCTCTTGTTCCTTGATGGTCTCCACAGCTTTAGCTGCCACTTTCTCAGCCAAAATCTTCTCCCTCCTCCTCCTCCTCTCCTCCCTCTCACGTTCCCTTTCAGAGTCGGACGATGAACCAGAATCTGAGTCTGAATCACATTCCTCATCACTTATTAAAGAACCTTTCTTCAGATCATCAGAAATAGAGCTGTGAGAGCTTGCTTTAGATTCCTGTTTCCTCCTTACAGCACTTCTCAACTGACCAAGAGAATTAACATCTGTTTTTACATGCAACTCCCTATTATCTTTTCCTAATTCTGACACTTTTCCCGCAGGAAGACTCATGTTTGCTGACCATGTTAAGCTTTCCAGAGAAGGCACCTTGGAAGGAATTTTCTTATCATATTCTTCCTCACCCTTATATTTTGATTTTTCCAAAAGGTTCTCGCTTGGGTTCTTATGTTCCTCTTCCTGCTTGTGGAAGCTCTTACCGTCATTCTGCATTTCAACACTAGAAGACCTCCCTGAAGAACTAGACTCCTCTCCATCACTGGGCTTTCCATTTAACTTATTCTCTAGTGCAGTATCCGGTCTCCGTGCAGACTTAGCTACATTGATACTTCTCTTCTGATTCCTCTTCCCCTCCGATCCCGCTAGATTTGGCCCTAAACTCCCCAGTCTAATCCCATCCTTTTTCAACGTGCGATTTGCAGACACCCCATTACTATTACGGCTCCCTGAAGCGCTTTTTACCTGAGTGGACGTACTGAGGAGTTCTGTCCAGTCACTATCAGTAAGCGTAGACTTCGGTTTAGGAGAAGGCGTCGGTATAGCTGCACTCTCTTTTTCCTGAACACGGTTATTGAGGACTTTACTATTATCATTGCCGTTGTTGAGCGTATTAAAAATGGGATCACTTTGCACTTTGCCGCGATAATCATTGTTTTCAGGAGCTTTTTTCTTTAGCTGATCTTTCAAAGAAACAGCGCCTCCAGTTTTCGTCGGAGCATCAAAAATTTGGTCATCGGATCGTGGCTTCTCGTTCTTTCCAAGCGACTCTGCTGCTTGCTGATCGATCTGAGCCGTCATAATTGTTCCAAATTAAGAACAAAAAACCAAACAAAAAAAGAACAAGCAGATTTATAATCAAATTTTAAAAAAATCGAGAAAACGCAAGAAAATGAATCGTAAAAGCACCATTCATGAATTAGGAGGAAAATAATTTGCAAATCAGACAAGTAATTCAAGTGGAAAATCTCCTTCTCCCTGGAACCAAACATGATATGCGAAAGAACATAATCCTACAGATGACTTAGCCATACACCTACGTTGAGAAGTAAGGAGGAAGAAAGCAAACCTGTTGCAGAAGTGTTTCAGCGACTTTGAGCTTTGAGGAGATCCAATTCGCCATTAGATTATTGTCCCCTGATTTCAGTCCCAAAAATCAACGAAATTATGTGCGTAATTTACTGAGAATATTATTGGCGCATTTTGAAGAAAGACCCTTCCTAGGTGGACGTAAACGTTCTCGAATTGAAGGGGGACGAGGATGGAGAGTAGGTGCTAAAACGACAGGGGTACCTTTCTGTCACAGTCGATTTAAAGGCAGCGGTTTTCGACACAGGTTGAGATTATTGATTTATTTGTGGTGGCTCACGCGGCTGGAACTGGTGGTCACAGCATTCACAGACATGGTCTCGGTCCCCGTTTTCGACCTGTTAAGGGCGAGATGGAGAGTGCACACGTGCGAGGATTGTGACTGACCAACGACATCTCAAAGTAGGATTTTTTCTTCCCCCAGAGACCGAGATAAATGTCTTCTTGAAATTTCTTTAAATTGTACAATTTAATCCTCCTATATTGTATTTTTTTAATTAAATAAATAATTTTATTTTAAAATAATTAAAATTTTCTGAATTTTTAACAAATTTTGTTTAGCTTAAAATAGAACTACTAAAAAAATTTAATATAAAGTAATAAAAATTAAATTTTAAGTGGAATTGAAATAATTCATTATGATATATCTTAATGATATTTTAATAATGTTTACATTAACTAATTATCTTAAATCTGATTTTTCATGTTATTGAATATGTGATAATCTGCACAATTATTAATAATTAAATCAAGTTGAATAAAGTTAATTGATAGGAAAAAGATATATTATTTGTGCATAATTAGCATTTTATTAGGATTGACATTATAATCAAATGTGTCAATAAATTAATTAAGAAGTTTTTAGATGTTTCAGACTATAAATAAAATATATTTTTTAGTATTTATTTCTTTCGATGGTACTTATTCATGTAAGTGTCACAAAAATGTTTTATACAAAATTTATTAAATAGGAATTTCAGTCTGGTTTACATATTTTTGTATGTTTTTATTAAAATTTATATTATAATTAATAATTAAATAATATATATATATATATTAAAAGTGTAAATATATAATTTCAAAAAAATTTACATAATTTAAAAAAATAAATAAAAATCAAAATTTTCTAATAAGCAAAAAGTTAAAATTTGCGAAGCTATTTACTTGTAACAGCAAGTGAATTGTTGTTTAGTAGCGGTTACTTCATCGATATTAATACTGATAATTTCTTTTCCGCTCTGTAACAAACTCGCCTTTGTAATTGTTTCATTGGCTTTGGCCTCTAGACTCCTCTGGCTCATAACTCCATGGATTTTCTTAATCACCTGCAGAAAAGCTTCTTCCACATTCAAATTCTGCAGAGCGGATGTTTCTATGAAACACAGACCTTCCGCCTCTGCAAAATTTTTGCCTTCTTCCTCCTCAATTTCTCTCGACATTTGACCTAGATCGGATTTGTTGCCGACGAGAACGACGACCATGTCTTTGTCGCCGAATTCTCTCAGCTCCCTCAACCATTTCTTCACGTTATCGAACGTCGCTCGCCGCGTGATGTCGTAGACTAGTAACGCGCCGAGAGCTCCACGGTAATATGAACTTGTTATGGCTCTAAACCTGCATCAATAACTTACCGTATATTTATGTCTGTTTCAGATATATATATATATATACATATATATATATATGTTCCTTTACTAATTTTCCTAGATTTGAAAAAAGGCATAGTTTGAATTGAAAGATATTAATACAGAACTAATATAAAATAAAATTGATTATTGTGTATAAAGTATAGCCTAAATTGCAACTTCCTGTCCTACTAAATTAAGCATAGTCATTAATTAATTTGTATGATTTATTTTATTTATACTGTATAGTAATTTCCTTCTTTTTTTATGAATCAAGTCGCCCATTACCATTTTATGTATGAGAGAGTATTTGAGAGATATTTGATAAATCTTGTTTATTCATATAAATAAATAGTATTATCAAAATAGATTTTTTTTATTTTATTTTTTAAAATAAATTCATAAATTTGTTAATTAAATAATATACATACGGAAAAATAATTATTTCTAAATAAAAATATATATTGAAATATACAATACAGTAGAAGGACAATAGGAGCACGACAAGGCTTACAAGGGAAGAAGAAGTGTAAAAATTTCAAGATTATTGTGGATAATTATGCAATCTTTTATCTTTTTTTTTTTTTTTTATAAAAAAATTCAGATAACATGATGCATTTTCAAATTTAGAGATAGAAAGTCAATACTTAATCCTTTCTAATCCATACTAAACTGAAAAGAAAATTTGATGATATGATTTAAAATCAAATGTTGTGTTTTCTGGACCCACCTTTACCTATCTCCATATGTTCTGTTTCTAGCGAAAATAAGAACCCTGACCTGATCTGATCAAACACTCAAAAAGCTATCAACAACCTAAAAAACCATAATTCTCTTTGAATAAATTAACCAAGTACTGTGAAATCTTTCAACAAAAACAAGCAAAACCCATAAACACTAACTTAATTTACCCAGTTCAGATTCTTTAATCTTTTAACCCATCTTCTTTAATAAGTTCACACAAAAAGAAAAAAAAGGAAAACCCATCTTCTTGAATTCTGCATATTTAAGGTTTGATGAAGTCTCTTTCTCTGTTCTATGTACATATGTGTTTTGTGTGTAAATATATACATATATGAACAGGTATAAAAAGATAGGTGATGAGAGGAATAAGTTAAGAGAAGAAGGGGTAACCTTTCTTGGCCGGCGGTGTCCCATATCTGAGCCTTGATGGTCTTATCAGCAACCTTGATATTCCTGTAAGCGAATTCAACTCCTATGGTGGGTTTTGAATCCAATCGAAACTCATCGCGAGAGAATCTCGAGAGAAGATTTGATTTCCCAACTGCAGAGTCTCCAATCAGAACAGCTTTGAACAGGTAATCACACTCTTCATCGTAGGAATCACCCATCAAAACACCTTTTTCTGTAGAATTTAAAAAGAAAAAGTGAGGAAAAATGTTTTTGACTAACCGAACTCAACAAAGTTGGGAACAACTCGAGAGACCCATTTAAGAAAAAGGATGATTGTAAGAAATGCTGAAACGGTGACGTTTTCAAATATCGGACGCAACCATGATTCCAAATCAAGTACGTACCTTATAATATTGGGAGTACTGTTTGGAGGGTTTTGAGTATGGACATGTGAAAACATCAACTAATACATCATGACTGCTCCTTTCATTTTGTCTATGTTATTATTATTTTTTCTTCCATGAATTCCTTTATATCTAAGAATATGTTTGTTCGAAACCCAATTAATTCTCCCATTAGGACAGATTTGATATGATAATTAAGGGTTTTTGAAATTTGATGG